AAGACTACATCAACTAGACAAGTTACAAGTTTACATCCATGTCTGTCCAGAATCATAATTTGAGTCCAAGGAAGGTTAAAATCAAGGGCAGTTCAGTTCAGAACTTAAGAAGCCTCTCGGATGAGAGTGGACATGTCTTGGAGTATCTTCAACCAAGTTATTTTTGTCTATCACTATACTGATGATATGATATACAATGCCAAAGTCCTTCTAGGCAAGTCATGCCACTCGGCCGCCATCTTGGCTACGCCTCAGGGCAGCAATTTCGGACTAACAAGACCAGGCTCCTATCTAAATGAATGGGGAGAGCGCCAGAACTGCACTTTTACTGGTCACCAAAACTACATGACTAGAATCAGCAGCAAAATGTAATAAAAATCGCTGAAAAAGTTTGACGACTTTGCCCCATAATAAGGTTAAAAAACCGTTTTTCCCGACACTTCTACTACACATGCGTCACCTCTTCAGTGCATGCGCAGTAGAAGTAAAACAGACCCTTACGTCAGTGGAACCACACGATTGGGCTGAAATACGTTTCCCGCTTTGGCTGTTAAAAGTAGACGACTGGCTTTCTAGCGGGAAGGGCGGGATAACTGCTATCTTTGCCGTTACTTTCCCCATAGAGTTATGCGACTCAGTGGCATGTCTCCTCTAAAATGTCTCTGAACTGAACACTGAACGTATTAATGAAGGATAATTATAGATACATTTGTTAAACAGTTACACTTATATTTGATTACTATGTAAAGATGGATTTTTATAGATTATAGCTGCACAAAATGTGGCGTTTTTGTTTTCTCCTGGCATTTTTAGAGACAAAGTGCATCAGATATTCAGAATGAGGCAGGAAGTGAAAGGCTTAATGGATAAAATGGAGGAAAGCCCGTACTGTGCTAGTTATTGTTTACTCAATGCGTCGTCCCAGTCAACATCTGTGCCATATCTGTTCCTAAATTATGGCTAAAAATCTATTTTTGAGTCAACAGTGTTACCCAATAGAAGGATGAAATCTGTCACAACCTCCCCTTCTGTTCCTGAGAAATTCCCTCAAGGTGTTCCTGAGGTTGCATTTGGGACAGACAAATGGATGGAGGGACAACCCAAAAACATAATGCCTCTGGCCATGGTTGTCCCTGGTGCAGAGGCAAAAAAAGGACAGTTTGTTTTTCATTGTTAGCATGGCCACAGGTAGGAAGGTTACAGTGTCACAGGAGTCTATAGGTCTAAATGCTTTTGCATGAGGGGGTGAATGTTCTTTGGCAAAGACAGACAGGCTTTCACCAGAATAAGAGAAAGGAGGTAAATACAGAAAGAAAGCGAGGGAGGGATGCATCATGCGCTGAGTGAGGCTTTACCCTGAGTCTGTAAGAGACTCAACGACAGACTTCAGTCCAGCAGAGGCCTGCAGTGTAGGTAGCCTAGGGGTCCCTGTGAGTTAGAGGAGGACCTGACATCCAGAGCGTGTGAAGTGAGTCTGTGTGCCAGTGTGTGTTTGTGTTTCAATGCCACAAACAGTAACATCAAATCTGGTGTTAACACAGGCTGCCAGACTTTCACACAGCTAAAGGGTCAGATCAGTAAGATTCTGTCAGTGAGCAAGATTTCCTTTCAGTATGATCTCTGATATTCAAAATACTACAAGATTCTCCAGCGATGTTAGGTAATTGTTTGATTATAGTAAGTGTGGAAATGGTTATGCTACGAGTTTACCTTCATTTATGGCATGTTTTAACTAGGTTCTGGTATTGAATTTTAGGCTGATGGCGATACTGTAAATGTCACAGAATGTATATTTAACATAATGATTCCTCCTCTGGGAAGCATGGATATGCACAGCATCGGATCTGTTGCTGCTCTCTCATCATCTCTTTGTCCTTCACGTTTCTATGTGTGTGTTTGCGTGCATGTGGACGCTATTTTGTGCGCACCTGTATGTGCGTGTACGCGCGTCTATTAGATCAAATATATCAGACAGGGTCATTATCAATTGTCAGGACAATTTCTCATCCTCGCCCTTTTCCGGCGTCGGAAGCCACCAAGGTCACAGGACCGGACGCCGAGTGCTTCTCGTGTTACACACGGGCACATCTGACATGGCGGCGAGATAGGCCTCATCATGGCAATTATTGTATCACCTTTCAACCAGCAGATATATGGCGCTCAGATAATGCAGCATTAATGGGAAATGCATATGAAGGGAGCGATCGATGGACAAATGACCCATAACAAGGCGCAGGACACTGGGCAATAAACGCTGCCAAATGACTGTGATAATACAAGCCGATTGGGATTAAGTTTCTAAATTATGTTTCCACTTGAAATCACATGGTGACCTTTAAGACATTATCTTCGGTTACAAAAAACATATTAGAAAAATATTCACCAAATGATTTGTTGCAAACAAGTTAATCCTTTAGCAGCACCGGCCTAAACTGGTAATGGCTTCATCTCTTGCTACTCAGTAAGCCCTCAACACATGATCAGTGGCAGAATCAGAGAAGTTACACCTCAAAGCTGCATTCAGTTTCAGGTTTGACTTTGTCAGTGATGGCTTGATGAGATGACAGCTGTTTGTGATGTAATGCCCCATGATGGACAAAACAAAATATATTTTAAACAAATTAATGGATCATCCAGTTCTCATTCAATAATAAATGAAATAAATAATTCATAAATTGTCTTTCTAGACTTGTGGTTTATTTTAAATTATTTTTGCTGCCTTGCACATCACCTAGTGCAACAGTTTTCAGACAACATGGAGTTTAATAGATTAGTGGCATGAGGTAGACATTTTACCCTCAACCCTCTTCACAGGATTTACAAATTAAGGGTGAGCCTTAATTTTTAATCATTTCATAAATGGTTCTAAATAATCGTTACAGTGAGGGATAATTTCACATCTTCATAATTATTTTAATTACATATTTTCCCTTTAACTTTGACTTGAATCCATATGAAAAAAACCTAGCAGTTACTGTAGTCCTTCACATTTATCATTCTCCCATCCATCTCGCCACCCATCCTCTGCTTTATGTCTTTATCTATCTGCAGACCTGACGTCCTTCTCCCTCAATCTATCAATTAGGCAGGCTCCATTTTTTTTTTTTTTCCTTTTTTTTTTAAAAACACTGGACATTTTGACTGTACGGTAGTCTCAAAATCCGTTAACTCGTCAGCCTGTCTTTGCTCTCCCCTAATTTCTCCATTCTGTCACTTCTTGAGTTCATCCATCAGCACACACCCCGCACCCTGCATGACAGTCATCTTAAAATATTGCAGCTAAAAGTCTACTTCAATTTAATGGATCATAAGGCTGGAGTGTGAATATTTAGTGTGTGTGGCTGCCGCCTGGAGATTTAATCCAGTGCTGCATAATTGATGGAGAGACATTGGAAAACTCACAGATCATTAAATGTGATAGCAGATTTGCCAAACACTTTTCAGAATAGTTTATGCTCAACGTCCTGTCAGGGCTATATGTTTTTCAGAGAGACAGCTCCTGAAAACTGCAGATGATGATGATGCTGCAAACCCTACTTTGTGCTTTATCTTGTTCATCCAAACATCTTAACTGTCATTCACGTTTGTTCCCAGATCCCAACATGCCAGAACTTTAATCATTTTAACACAAAGACCTTTTTTAAACCATGGAACTTATACCAATATCAGCATCAAAAATGACATTAAAAGGTAATTTCAGTATTTTTAAACCTGGAAACATATTTTGGGGTCGAAATTACAAGTTAGTACAAAAACATTTGGAATCTGTGCAGTAGATGGCTTCGGTGGCTGCAACGTATTCCTTCGGAGCGATTGCACCTGTCACAAAAAAACTTATATACGAGGTGTCTGATAGCATCATGGAAAGGATCCTTACTGGTGACATCGTTTGTTTTAAACATGAAACTGAAGTCTCACGCAAGGCCAATCCTTGCTCTGAAATCTCATGAGGGGAGCGTTGTTGCAGGAAGGAGATAGTGGAAATGTGAATCAGAGTTGGAGAAAGAAGTGTTGTTAGTCACAGTCTGGACGTAATTTTGACATATGCAAGTGCCCAAAAAGAACACAACAAGTCATCTACTGCACGGATATTTTTGTATGTGAAAATAGGGCCCAGGTTTAAAAATACAGAAATTTACCTTTAATGTTCCCATCAACAGCAGTTTTTAACCTATATACAGTACTGTACAACTTGTAGGAAGGAACTCGACTAACATCGGTTTATTGGAAACTGATGCTTGTCAAACACAGAGTTTGAGTAACTATATCATATAGGGTGTGATTATGCTTCAGTCTAACTTGACTGTCACTCTATTATACTGAACAGACGTACATCTTGTATTTTATTATTCATTGATTACTTGAATAACTGTATTACTCCCTAAAGACAACTGATTTACAGTGTGGGCACAGAAATAATAAACTTACTTATTAAAAACAAATTAAAGACAAAAGTAATTCAATAAAGCACTTTCACAATGGAGTGAACTGAATTTGGGCAATGAACAAGAAGACTATTTATCTTTATTATTTGAGTGCTGGCATTGTGTTTGTTTCGATCCTTGTTACGACCGGGCAACTTGATGCAGTATTGAAGTTTGGGAGCTGTGCACGCGGCTATTTTTTCTACTATAAATAAGACCTCACTTTCGGGGTATTTTCTTTACTGTAAATCAAACTTGATGCACTGAATTTATCACCCACTATCACGTCAAAACTCACCATCATCATCACCACTGCCACCATCATCATCAATGTGAGGCGTTGCTGACTTTTCTGTTTTATATGAGTATAAATTGAACAACTTTGAGTGATACTCTTGATCTGACAAAACAAGTAATTTGTAGACTTCACCTTTGGCAATGGGATCTTGTGATGGGGATTTTTCAATGTGAGAATCACTAACAATTAAATCAATCAATACTACAGCCCTTATAGCCAGCCTGTTGGCTGGATTTTTCAGTTTTGATAAAAATGAAATGACTGTGAATGCCTCTAACCTGGATCTTGATTGGCCAGCTGAAGTTGGTCACATAGACGTAGAAGGTGATGTTGTGGTGAAGTCTGAAGTTGAACTTTTCACACGAGAAACTGTCACGGTGCTCCTTGATGTTGGTCCTCGCTATGATGGGCATCTCTTCGCCTGAGATCGTGCCAGCTGTGAGGCACAGAGAGCAGTTAATATCTAGAAATAACAGAAACATAGTCGCAGCTACGGCTCTCAAAGGCTAGAGGGACAAACAGTGATACCTTCGAGGGTGTTTATTGTCTTTCAGCTCAAGAGCCTTTATTTATTGCAGAAAACCAATTGACAACTTATCGAAAGCAGCTTGTGGCTAGCAGTGTCTCAATGAGAAATGTCACCAGAGGTCCTCTTAGAGCTGACGGATGTTTAGATTAAACAAACGTTTTCGGTCGTTTTTAAAACCTACCCAGGTCCTGTGGATAATAGCTCTGGTATAGGGTTGTAAGATATAACAATTTAGACAATTGTGATCTGTCAACTGAAAGACTGTTCAGACCTACACTATGGTGGATAACTGTTACAAATTAATAAGCCGGACTATTTTATGGAAATATTGGATTGATTTTGTACGTAGTTAATTGACTGTATTTTATCATCATGGAAACACAGCATTTGTCAGCTTAGTAGAGATGTTAGATTTGGTAATCAGGGTCCTGCGAACACTTTGCTGAGAGACAGAGTCCCACTAAACTTTCATTTCATTTATTTGTTTATTTGACAGGGACAGTGCTCATTAATTAACAATAAAATAACTGTGAATGAGCCAGAGTTAGCTCAACAGGCTACTTTTCATCTGTTGTCCCTGGTCAGTTATTAAAAGGGCAAGCTTAAATAAAGATTTAAAATGACTTAATAACAATATATACAGAATAATAGTCAGACAGGTACAAGACATAACAATAAGCAACAAACAACATATTACACAAAGCACAACAAGAAAAAAAAAAAACTCAGTAGGCAGTCAGTAGTATAATTTGCACATATCTGATTATCAATTAGCCACTTCTTAAGCTGACCAGTAAAAGCATGATAAGTATTTGCTTCTCTAATCTGCATTGGCAATAGATTCCATGTTTAGATGCTGTTACAGAGAACGCTGACTGACTAAAAGTGCTTCTTCGAGTGGGAATGATACAGCCCTTCTTGGTGAAGCCTGACCAATTATCACTTGCAATCATTTAGTTCCGGCATGTGCAGATGATCAGGCAGGGGGGACCCGAGACAGACTTCTGGGATCAGGAATGTCAACAGCCACGGTTTCCCAAAGAACGATGAAAATGTTGAAATAGGCGAGAAAGAATACACATTTTTGCATGCCAGCCTCTCTGGCATTAGGCTGTGGTGTTGTGAGAAGTCCTACAGGCAGAATTGTCTTCCACTATAATTCACTAGATCAGACATATTCTCATTTTTATTCCCAATGCCTCACATTTTGTTGTATCAGCAGTTTGACCCTGTGGTTAGTCAAAAACTTGTATTCCCAATTGAGTCAATTGAGAGTAAAAGTGACAGATTTAGGATGGCAACAACAAAAGGTGCAGTCCAGTTGGGATTGGGAAGGATAAAGTTAAGATCAGGACAAATCAGGTTCTTTTAAATTACCCCCTTGTCACCTTGTGGAAGGAAACACTCAGAGTAGCAAAAACAACTTTCCAGTTTAAAACACTGCAGCCACATGAGAGCGGCGCAATGAGAGTCAAACAGAGCGACCAATCAGCCAAGCTGCTTTCAGTATCTACAACCTTGTAAAGATATTTTTTACGCAAAGTGGTAAATGAGCAGGTTGAGTGAAAACAGTCTAGATTTTAAAATGTCAAGGCCTGCCTTTTAATCTCAAGCAGGCAAATTATTTTCATGACACCTCGCAGTAATTCAGAGCGAGCTTGTAAATTCCTCTCACTGCTGAAGTGGTCTGATTTCAGTATCCTTCAGCGCATTATCAGCAGTTTTGTGTTAATGGCTGAGTTTCTCAGACTTTGTGAATAAAATATTTCCACCTCCTGCTTTATCAGGGCCATTAAACACTCTATAATAGTCTGCACACAATCACACATACACACACACTCACAGTATCTTGGGCTCTGGGCCCCAAGACACTGCGAGTGTGAAAGCAGAGTGCTTTTATCTTAATTAAAATCATGAGGGAAAATGTATAAAACGCCCTAATGCCAAAATTCAAAACAGCTTCTGATGTGTTTTGTCAAGAGGGGGAATCCCCGCGAGGCCAGCAGGAAGTGGATCTGACCATTTTGCTTAAGGACACTTGGCCACCAATGAAAGATACTGACTGTGGGATTTCAGACAGACAGCTACATGATACACCAATCTAAATCAAATTATATTTAATATCACATCTCACTTTCAGCCTCATTACACAGCATTAGAAATGTTAGAGAAATGGCTCATTTTTAATGAGAAGATTTCTCTTAAGCGTTTTAGCTACCTGTGTAAACTCACAGATCTTAAAGATGCATAGGGATGTGACTTCTCAGCATGTCAAAGCTACATTACATAGAACCAGTTTCTTGGATGTGTTGCTTTTCTTTGTCTTATATGACAGTAAAGTCAATACCTTTGGGTTTACCCTAACTTAAAGAAGTCACCTTGGACTGGAAAAGTATTGCGGGCATTTTTTGGTGCTAAATAATAAATATTATGGATTAAGAAAATAATTGGCAGCCTGTATTCATACCAGTTCCTGAGAAGCCAAAATCAACTGTGTGGGTGTGGCTGGCCTTTTTATTGACTACTCCAAACAGTTGGAGAAACCAAATTGCCTTAAAAGAAAATCAAATGAAAGTGATTTTTAAGACAAGTATAAAAATGTGAACATGTTCTCTACCTGTTGAGCTTAAGGACCAAGTGATGTTGAGGTTGAAGTTGTTTGAGGCATTGATGGACATGTCGAGGTTCTTGCTCGCCTGCATAAAAAAGAAACGGGTTACTGAGCTGAACATAAAAAGGCTTGTGGACGAACTGATTCGCAACACAAAGCAAATTCTTGTTGCTTTAGTTTCTTGGTTTATTTATTGACTGCTGGGGTAATGTTGTTGGACACCTTTACTTATTTTCCTTCAGGTCTGCTGACCTTATGCACTTTCTCGTATGCATTCATGAAGCACAACAGAATTCTTTGTTAAAATATTTTAAACTGAAGCCGACTGGCCTTCACCTCAACTTGTGCCACCTAGAGCGAATTCAAATCTGCTGACCTCTTCTTTCACCGAGTCATTCCATTGATTTTGTCCGCAATCCTGCCTCAGAATTTATTCTTTACAGTACATTTAGCTGACGCTTTTATCCAAAGCGACTTACAATTGCTATACATGTCAGAGGTCACACGCCTCTGGAGCAACGAGGGGTTAAGTGTCTTGCTCAGGGACACAATGGTGGATGTCTCACAATGGGAATTGAACCCAGGTCTCCCACACCAAAGGAAGGTATCTTATCAAGCATCTTATCTATGCGCCATCACCACCCACAGTATCTCAACACACCTTTTAGGCACAGAAGGAAAAACAGGTTTGATAAAACTCAAGAATTTACATGCATCTCACTGTCGACAGCAGATTCCTGCATTAAGAGAAAAATGTTATACGGCTTCTATAAAAAGAACAACATTGGGGCATCATGGTGATCAAATTGTCTATGTTGCGTATCAAGTAACCACAACATTCCCTGTTCATTTTCAGCCACGGGCCTTTGTCTCATACTATTATAGTGTCTCTGTTCCGTCTTTACTGTCCATTATCTAATAAATGTTTACATTTTTAAAATGAAAAACAAGTCCGACTATCTGTCCTTTTGATGTTTAGATCTTAAGTGTGTGTCACAAATATGAAAAACACTCTAAACACTAAATTAAATATAACGAGGAGCAAAACTTATCACTCAACCTTGTGTGCCTTCGACTGCATGCGTTACCTGTTCAGGTGTAGCCATGAAGTTGATGGCGGTGTAGTATCGGTCATCTTCTTGAAGCAAACTGAAGGTGAACTGGTAATCGATCAACAGGTTGTCTAGGCAGTGGAGAGAGAGAGAGACAGAAAGAGACATATTAAAAAAAAAAAATACAGATTAAAACAAAAACATCCAACAATTCAATTTGCTTGTAATCATTCAGTGATAATATTTAATGCACTTCTTTGTTTCATTTTTTGTATATTGCGACCGCCTTTGATCTCACTCACTTTCCCTGTAAGAATGCGATTCCAAAGAAAAGCTACATTCCAGCAACTTTTATTGATGACACCATCAAGCACAGACAGATTTATGAAAGGAATAACATGGGAGTCGATATTCAATTAGACGAATAAGATCTCAATCAGGGACAAAATAAAGAAGGTGAGCTATGTGTGCATGGGCACATACATCCAGATGTTTTATACATATGAACATGAGCGTTCACCAGGACGCCATGTTCTCAGACAAGCTAACGGTCCAATCAATAAAACATGAGTGAGAGTCTAAATAATCACATTCTCTTAAAGATTTAATGATGTCTAAAAGCGGCTCCTGGAAGCAGCTCTTTGTCAGCAAGACAATGGCCAACGAATAGAGGGAATCACAGTGATCAACATCTGGACAGACAGCAGGAGGCACCTTGGGTCACCTTGCCTGCCAGCCTGATGTGGGAGGAAAGGAGGGGAGGAAGGAACACAAAGGAGGAGAAGAGGGAAAAGAGGGAATAAGGAGCGAAAGCAGCTATGTGGCCATGAAAGGATAACGGGGATGAGAGAATATTTTTTAAAGGTAATCAGCATGACTGCTGAGTGCTAACCCTTCAGGGTACTCCAGGTGTGTGTGTATGTTTGATGTCTGCAACCAAGGGCAGCTCAGGTTAAAACAGACTCCGGAAAGATGAAATATTTGCGCACTGTGGTTCCTGTTTTCATAGCACCAAAACTATCATAGAAGAAAAAAAAAAAAACATTGCAAAACACAATTATTCCAAGACTCAACCAACTAAAGGAACAGCTTTGCTTTGCATTTCTGTGCCTGGTTGCAGCAGAGCAATCAAGGCCCAACCTGACATAAGGCATCCTGTAAATTAAAAAACTGACCTGTCAACCTTCCACACAATGCTGATGGAAAGTGTGCTCTCTAAATCTGTATTAATAATGTTAACAATGACTTTATCTATGTAGTACTTTATATACGTAGTGCTTTATAAAAAGACATAAAATCAATAACACCAACCGTTTACTGAAGAGTAGCCGATGAGACGACGCTACAAATGCTACCCTAGGTGCTCTGTTCCATTCTGTTCCACCATTATTTCAGTTATCATTTGCCATCATAGAGCAAGATTGCAAACATATGGTATTCAGCTTTAATGAGATGCAGGACTTGCTACAACATGCTTCTTTTATTCAAGTAAAAGATACTGAATACTTCATCCACCACTGCTCATGGGTAACGTGCCTGTAACTACACATCCCTTGCTAATAGAAATGGAGACATTCAAATACCTGCATTCATTTTCTCATATTAATTATATTGTTGTAGAAGGTTTTTAAAAGTGCATTGTCTATGAAGATTCTCAGTCATCCAGGTTATAGTTATCCAACGAAGGTTAAAGTCAAGGGCAACTGGACTTGGTTGAAGATACTGGAAGACGTTTCGTCCCTCATCCAAAGGACTTCTTCAGTTCTGACTGACTGGCAGGGAAACTCAGCTATTTAACCTCAGTGGGGTCGTTGGCCAGGGTCATCGATACCGCTGGTTCGTTAGAGTTCCTTCGACTGCTGCAACGACAGTCGTTGTGATGAAGTTGAACAGGGGAGGGGGTCTACGCCACCACTTATCCCCCACTTACAATGCTGTCCTTTCATCACTTCCCAGGAAACTCAACAAACGTAACCTATTGGCCTCAGGTGAAGATACCAACGATGGTCGTTCAGTCTTGGCCACCGGGAGTCTTAACAACTGTAACGACTGTCGTCACAGCAACCAGGAACACTAACGAACCAGCAGTATCGATGACCCTTGCCAACAACCCCACTGAGGTTAAATAGCTGAGTTTCCCTGCCAGTCAAAAGTCCTTTTGATGAGGGACGAAACGTCTTCCAGTATCTTCAACCAAGTCCAGTTGCCCTCGATTTTAACCTTCGATGGATAAAAGTGCATTATTACAATTCTGTAATGACAGCGACAAAACACATACCGTCTTTAATGTGGACTGGTGACATCTAGGGCTGAACTCTAATTGTGATTATTTTTGACTGATAGTGCACTCGGGATATGATTTGAAATACCAGGGGAAAGATCATTTTTATGTCATTCTCATTCTCTTTTAAAATTATGTTAAAATGATTTTCGGTGTGATTTTTGCAGGGATCTGTACCAGTTTCTAGAATATTTAATTTAAAATGGTATTTTGACAAATATCACCTTTAACAAATATTGAGCCTGTTTCGGTTAACTATTCAGCCCTACTGACATCTAAACAATGCACAATATGTTTAGTAAGGTCAGTTTTGGTGGTAATAGCAATCCACTGTATCCAATTGATGAAATGCCTAACATTTAGCTCTTTTTAGCTCCACAGAAGAGCTGCTCAGAAGTCAAATGGTGAGCAGACAGACATGTCAAACTGTATGAATCCGATGCTGTTACAGGTAAATATGTTGCTGTCTAACACTGAGTGGCAGCACTCAGCTTTTCAACTTACAGAGTAGAAAAACTTTGTGTCACACACTGTGGAGAAAGGCATGTTTAGTTATCACCTTCCTTTCAGCTGTACAATCCCGGGGCGTCACCAAGACGAAAGCAAATTATGTTTGACAAACACCCTTGTTTTGTTCTGCCTTCATGGCAAGTTAGCCCGAACAGCAGATATCATCAGATCAAAGACAATATTTTTTCCTAACATCTCACTCCCTCCCTCCCTCCCTCCCTCACAGGCAGGCAGACGTGCACTGCTGCTGCTCAGTTGTTTATCCCAAAAGGGTCGTCAGTACAACTTCAGAGTATTTGGGTTTTCTTATACTTTGTAAAGGGGAAAAGGAGTTGTGTGGTTGCTTGTGCAGTATGTTTGTATATTCACCTCCCAATGCATCCAGAATGTACACATCTGTCCACGTGCACTATCTACCTATCTACCTGCTGATGCATCTGTGTTTGAGAGTGTTTACAGGTGTGTATGTGCCTGCTTAGTGAACCAAACAAACACAGTACAGTACAGCACAACAAAAACTTACACTAGTCCCCTCTGTGCGTTTTCAATGTTTGATTGCAAGGCTTTTGGGAACAAGAGCATCAGCCAGGTTTAAAAGTTCATCTCAGCTAATTCTCCCATCTGAGAAATCTGACAGCACTTTCACTTAACCAGTCTCAATTACACGCATACATATGCGAATTCTCACTCTGGATTAATCGTATCAAGGTATCACCAAAGGTATTAACGATCCCCAGAAGAACTGAAATAGAAATAGTCCATGCCAATTTCTCAAGTTCACAGATGGGTGATCTTATTACCATAATATGTAAGCTGATTCAGCCAATATGAAACAAAACACTGATGTTGGGGAAAGAGACGGCAGAAGCCCTCAGCCGGAACGTAATCGGATATTCCAGCAGTCTGCTTCGAATAGAAATACAAAACAAGCGTGAACTCACCTACAATGTCAGTTTGTCAGAATCTCTTGCTGAAGTTTCATTTAATTCTTGTTAACATCTCATTATTCCCCATTTGCAACACCTGCCTGATGGAGCGCAGGTTAGACGTTACAACATCACCTCGCTGAGAAAACAAGTTAGAACCAAGGGAGTAAAACACAAGGACAACCCAGATTCACAATCAGTCCTAAATGGAGGTCAAGGTAACCTGCAGGTAATGTATGCATGAGGTCAGGTGACATCATATTAGAAACTCACTGTTCCTTAACAATACGATGATCTGAGGGACGGCTGGTCACAAAGTTTACAATCACAAGTCTCTCAACTGGAGACTATTCAATATAAAGTACGAAACTCAGACACAGCCAATGTGTACGTTTCCTTCTATCTGGTGTGTGTGTGGGTGTCACATACTGTATTAACATGTATCTGTAAACGCTCACTGAAACTTACTCAAACTGATCTAAAATCTGAAGATTTAATAGTTTGTCAGGGTAACTATTGAATTTCAAAAAAAGTTTTGGGTGCAATAGGACCAATTATTCGCATAGGCGTCCAGACGGACTGCCTGTCAGCAAATATTGAGGCATCCTGGACTGATGCCAGATCGTGGTCTAATGAACGGCCTTAGGCCAGGAACGTTGTTGACTGCTGATCACTGTCATGAGACTACTCTGAGGTCTGAATTGGGCCCAACATTCACTAGCTTTTTTTATTGCTCTTCATCTTTGATATGATTTTACCACTATGAGAAGAAATCTAATCACATCTAGAAGAAATTGGGGACATGACACACCTCTTTGCGTCTCTCCATTTAGATTTCGGACATGACATTACTCAGTCCTATTTTGTGCTATCCATCACTAATTGTCGTTTTAATTGCAACTGTGAGGCTGTCAGTAAACATTGGAGCCACTTTGGCCTGACTAAGCTTTCCCAACAGGCCTGAGGGCAGCAAACGGCGATGACTCTAGACTGACTGGTGTTAGCTGGTAATTCAACTGAATGCTGGTCTCCCAGTGGAAGTGGTGGGCCACTTTGTGGCCGTCCCTAATTAGACATCCCTTGTAGCTGACTGTGATGGGATATGACAGTGGTTCATTAAAGCGCTGTCCTGGTAATACATGCTCATAAATGCTGGCCTGACTGGGGGCAAACTCATTAAATAGCAAAGTTGCTTTTCATCAATTGACTGGTGGTTCAATATGACAGTGTTAACTGAACCAAAGCATCATCCCAGAGTGAGATGAGAAACGCTGCCATCCATAGCTGGACACTCACTTTTTTTCAGTCTGATGAAAACGTTTCACCAACATGAATTTCAGAAGAAGTTTTTAAGTGTGACACAATTGCAGTATGTTCCAATGAAGCCAACTACAGTTGTCAGATGTAGTGATTAAATGATAAAGCATACATTTTCCTATCATCATCAATTAATCCCCAAACCAGATAGTTTTGTCACACACATACAGTAAAAGATCAAAGGAGGCCCTGGGTATCAGTTATCAGTTTGTAAACTCCAGAATAACGCTGAATTTGTCATTTGGTTTTTTACTTTGGATGTTGTCTTAACAGGCAACCACATATGGTCAGGGGGAGAAAAAAAAGACTGTCCTGACTCAACAGCAAAATGAGGAATAATAATAACTTTATTTATATAGCACTTTTCAAAAAGTTACAAAGTGCTGTACAGTAAAACAACATGACCCATACTTAAAGATCTAAATGAATTAAAATAAATTAAAAATCAGCATTAAATAATACAATAACAGCAATAATATAATGTTTATAAAAACGAGATTCAAAAGAGGCCACTGAGTTTCTCTGGGCAGGGAGTTCCACAGCTATGGGGCCCAACAGCAAAGGATCGGTCACCTTTAGTGACAAGACGAGACTTTGGAATCATTAGTAGAGCCCTGCCAGAGGATCTCAGGCAACAGTCCAGCTTGTAGGGAGTTATCAAAGACGTAGGCAGGAGCCTGGCCGTTCAGGGCTTTAAAAACAAGTAGTAACATCTTGAAATCGATTCTAAAACTCACAGGTAACCAGTGAAGGCGGTGCGGATTGGTTTGATGAAGCCTGGCTGGAGCATTTTGAATGAGCTGTAATCTATAAATATTTCCCTTTATTATAACTGGTATAGACCAGAATACAGAGCATTGCAGTAGTCGAGTCTTAAGGAAATGAAGGAATGGATGGAGTCAGCAGAGGAGAGAAATGTTCTAATCTTAGTTCGGCGTATCAGCTGGACAAAACAGGACTACACTACTTCTGTCACCTGCGCATCAAAAGACAGCTCTGAGTCAAAAATGACACTAAGGTTGTGAGCTTTTTTCTGAATGTTATCTGAGAAAAAGACTAAAAGATGAAGAAAATGCTCGCCACAAACAAACAAACAAATAAATGGACCAACCTAAAAGTTTTTGATTGATATAGAGCGAGAGCGATAAAATAGAGAGATGATAGATGGATGCATGGATACGTATATATAATGTTTTCTCTAACTTTGATGGTTGGGTTTGACGGCAGTTCTCCTTATATGTAGCACTGACAAATAACCTATTTTATTGTTCAGGTAGAAGGCCTTGTTAAGAGCACTGCATCATTGGTTTGGCCTAATAAGGATTTGTTAGTGACAAAGATAATGAAACACCAGCTTGATTATTTAATATATGCAGTCTCACCAGACTGTGGCTGAAACACTCTTTGATCAGATATATCTGAAATAACAGTGCTTCACTATAAAATGCGACTCCTCACTCTGAAATGTCAGACTCAGGCTTGAATCCAAAACACATAGCTGTTAGCAGTGCAAACGAGTAAACATACACTTCACAGTCCACGACTACTGTTCAATGAGTCTGATTACAACTGACTGAAATAGTAACTCTATACAAATGGGTCAAAGAAAAAGAGAGGAAACAGGGAGAGAAGGGAAGATGTCAAGCGGCTGGACTTGTTATGATTTTCAGCTGTTCATCTTTGAGTGGTTGTTTGGTTTAGATAATGGCTTTGTCTTCTGAGGAGTTTATGCCGAACCTCTCTCTCTGGTCTTTTGGTTCCCTGTAAGTGTGTAATAATGCTGGGCAAGGATTGCATTGGTGCCATCTAGCTTCAAACTTCAGCCCTGAATCCAGCAGGAGGGTAAAAGCATGCCGTCCATGAATTGTAAAATTAAAATTTTACCACCCCAAAAGGAAACATCACTAAATTTAGGCAGTGCTTGAAGTGCTTGCACTATCCTCAACCTTAAGGTGAAACTACTAAATATTATAACAATAATGACTTTGAGCATTAAATACTTAGTTTCTTGCATTCTGGAGACATTTTCTGCACCAGTTTGGTGGAAATGTCAATTTTGTTTCCCTCACATAAATAAAAGGTGGCAGGTGACAACTCAAAATATAATGTAATTTAATGCAGTAATCAGCTTTGGGAGAATGCATTTTTTTCTTCTATATTTCAATCGCATTACATGTTTTCTTAATGTCCATTGTTTAATTTGTTATTGAACATTTCTTGTTGCTGTTTTTCAGAACATTTTTAACAAAAGCTTTCAAAAAGTGATGGAGACATTATGATTCTGACGTGGCCCCAGCGTCCCCAGTGAAAATGACACCTATCTAATAATATATTCAATATATTTAAATGCCCCGCCCCATCCAGGCTGTGATTGGTCGGTTCACGACAAGTGACATCGACGAGCTACATTCAGCACACGGTTGCTTGAGAGGCACCTGAGGTTCTCTTCCCCCTCGTCTCTCTCCGCCGACAGAGATTAGCGGGCAGGCCAGAGAACCTGATATGAAGAGGGAAGAGAAGAGTACCGGCAGCTTGGGTGAAGTCCCGGTACGCAAGAAAATGTCCCGGTGCATATCGCCCCACTTCAAGCACTGACTTTAGGTGATCTCACAGGTTCAAACATATTTCTAGCCTTTACAGTAAGTTGTTCATGTTTCCAAATGTTAGCTGGATTGTTACAGACCATTAAAATACCAAATGTCATGTCTGTAACTGACTGCTGTGTCTCTTTAATCGGAAGTAGGAAAGAAACATGGCATTTTAAGATAAAAGCCATGAAGCCATGAAATTGAACCCATGTTACCGTCTTCAATCAAATTCTTGAACAGAAGTTGTTTTTGGGATCAAAGGTATATTTGAGGTGACCAGTGCAATCTGTGGCATGACTCCTCTGATTGCTCTGTCCTTTCGAGCCTCCCTCATCGAAACAATGATAGCCCCCCACTCAAGCTAGAGGGCTATTGACATTGACAGGACTTGAACTTTATTCTAGCATGTTATATTAAAACTGATGATGGCAATTCATAAAGTGAATGCGCGTATGTATTTGTGTAAAAGTGTGTGAGAGAGATGCAGAGGAGTATGTGAGTGAGCGTGTGACACAAAACATCTGTTTTGACTACGGCATTCCTCCTCCGTCTGCCCTTTAAAAGGAAAACCAGCAATTTGTTGCAAATGAGGTAAAAGTCAATGTGATCCCTGCTAGCATCTGGAAAGAGGAAAACAAAGTTGTATACAGAAACACTTTCTCTCTCTTTTTATCCATCTCCCCTCTCCTAAAAGTAGGAAAATCTAACCAACTGCAACACAAAAGAAAAATACAAATATTAGTGTGTGTGATGGTGACAGATAGTGTGACATTTGTGCACTCAATTGTGTCCATCTGTGAGTTGTTCCAAGCACTGCTTTGCCAAAATAGTGTTTAATACTCTGCTTTGTTATCATAGCCTCCTTGAAGCTCCTAAAAATGTACTGAGTGTTTTTTTTTTCTCCTTTAGATAAATGTTGGCACGAATATGAATGTTTGGAACACAGTAAGCGTATGGCTCAACAGCAGAAATGTGGATCATTCTGAAGGAGTAGTTAAAAATGTTTCTGTGGACAATTTTTCCAACTTGAACGCTTTAAGAGTTAATTTACAAAAACAGATAAATGCCATTCTAAACTGACACCAGTTTGATTGATATTGATATATTGAGCGCACAAAAACTGGACATGGTTACTTTTCTGCCGTAAGCACCGTTTAACTGAGATGATTTCTGAAGTTCAGCAAGTCAATTTTATTTAATGATCTTAAGCATCAACTGTAGCCATTTTAAGTCAGAAAGGCTAACGTGGTTAGCATCTGCTTTCTGGGTACCTTTCTTCCCTGGCTATATAAATGATAATTACAGGGCACATTGTGTCCAGGAACAGCTTCAACTGTGTGTGTGTGTGTGTGTGGACCAGGGAGGAGAGGGAGACTCAGGTGTACTGGAGGCATGATACTTACAATAACATGTTCCTCGGAGAGGGTTACCAAGGTAGCGGTTCTCTGAGTCACATCTGGAACAACACAGGAAAGGAGAGAGGGAAAGAAGAAGAAGAGAGAGACAGAATATATGCATTAGTATTCAACGAGGGTTGAGTTTATACAAAGACAAATGTTTGTGTTATAGAGCGTGTGGTTGTGTGTGTGTTATGTGGGCCCTTGCTGCAGGTGTTGTCTTCCCCCACCTCTTGGCGAGGTGATTTCCCTTGACAGTCCTGTCTAGCCAAAGCTACTCTCTTTTTCCCCATGGACACACACACACTCACACAAACACACACGTGTGCACACAGAACACCTTGAACTGTTACTGTGTTAGAGAGAGAGATACTATAGCTCATGTATGCTGGATCGTGCTATCCGCCAGAAGTACAGCGGAGCATCTGCAAGAGCACCAGAGGGCCTCCAGGTAAAATTTCTGAAAAAGGCTGAAAAGTGTTGATGAATTGTATGCAGAAGAAAACTCCACAAAATCTAGCTTTTCAATATCAAACAATCCTTCCCCGTATGCTTGAATGGTGGCACTGAAAAGTTTAAAGCTGCTCTTTCATGGAGGACGGCAGCTGTATTGAGCTTGGATTCATAGCGGTAACAATGGATCCCGATGGAGACATAGTAATGGCAAACAAATGTATCAAAAACTGACTACAAAGTCCATACTGTATAAACTCCACTTTTCTGATGTTGAGCCACATGCTCAGTATAGAGAGGCTATGAAATATGAACTGTGCCCTGAATTACACATTTGTCCATTTAAAAAATAATTTAGTCCGTCAAGAAAGTTGCAGTTTGTCGTAAAACAATAACGTTACATTTAGCTTTGTGTGAAAACCGTTCAATGAACTACATCACTCGTCTCGCACAACATACGTAGCTAGCGTTCATTGCTTGGTTGCTGCTAGCTAGATAACTTAGCTATGTTCCACGCAGAAATGTGTCACCTGGTGTGTTTAATCCAACAACTCTCAGTCCTTGCATCTCCGCATCTACACATGTAAGTTCTTTGGCGTTAGCTTCAGTAATGTTAGCTTCAGTCATCGCGAGAAAAAGTTACGCCGTCACATAGGCGACATTTGGGTTTGTGGTCTTTATAATTATGTATTTTCACAGTTGTATACCTCAACAGTTTTACATCAAATTGAGACTTTCTTGACTTTTAAATATATTTTTTAAATTGACCATCATGTGTATAATTCAGAGCACAATTCAAACGGGTTCAAAAAATTTGTTGTCACTTGCCATTGACTACCATACATATATTTCCCGAAGTAAAGGGGAGGGACTCAGGCTCTCTATGTCCAATCAGTATTTGCCATTATGTTGCTATATACACAACACATACTTAGATTAGAGCTTCAGAGCTATATACAGGCAATAGGGCAGCACAGAAGTATAGAAGTAGTAAAAATATAAGGCCATAGATAGTTAAGATAGAATAAGACAAATGTTTAGTGCAGGATTCCTGTATGGTAGTTTACTTTGTATTCATCTCTTTCATTCAGATGTTTTTTTTTATCTGTTCAGATTGACATTAATAAATACTGCTTAGTGGGAAATAAAACAGGAAACATACTGATAATGGCAAGAGCAAAACACCATGTCATTTAAGTTTAAACGCAACAATCACTGTTCCTTATGGACATGTTCAAAAAAATGTTTATCATGCCCCTGCCAGTCGCTGTTGTCAAAAAAGGATCTACTCAGCTTTCATTAGCCTTTCATTGTGACATTTAAGCCATTAGGCTGTTATTCACTGTGACCAAATAGAGGCTGACTGTATTTTAAAAAGAAACATTTATTGATGGGCAGTAATTGGCTGTGGTTGAAAGTTGTGACCTTTAGGTTAAGGGAAAGTCTATAATGACCAGTAAGCTCCGCCGCAACACAATTAGGTAAAAAAAAAAACAATTGATTTTTCCGGTAGAAATCTAATGAATTTTCAAAATACATAATGGGATTTGTGTGGGTTTGAAATGGCCCTGTGGTCCAGGAACATCAGGGCACTTAAGGATAATGTTCATTTCAACACTCAACACAAAAAGTAATTAAAGAAAATATCAGGGGTGCAGGGTTTTTTTCCCCAGTTATCATCAAGAAATGATGTGCATACGTTTCAGGCCATTAAAGTGTCACATGGATGACGTGTACCTGAAGTAATTCAGACCACAGATAGGAAAATTATTGCCTGGCAGTTGAGAACAAAAGCCAGCGTTATTAAACTTCCACTGCGGTCCGAATGGAAAAGAAATGTTAAAAAATGATAAGAGGACTAACTGTAATTGTTATTATAATGTCAAGGCTTTTAACATGTCTTTAAAGTGCTTTTGCATCACTGTGATGGAATGATATAAATCATATTGTTTGATATGTGTGTGTGTGTGTGTGTGACTCAGTGGCTCTGTATGACATTCATCTGGAAGTCTTTAAAAAGAAAAACAAAAAGAGTGTTTATTGACATTGCCAAAGCTTGATGAAATTCTGTATCGGAGCCATATAGAAAAAAGAAACCCCGCTGGTTATCAAACCCATATGCAGCTGGTATTTGACAAGCTTTACTAAATATGGACAATAAATCTTCCAACGCACCACACAGTCCGCACACGGTTTCCACAATGTAACAGAGAAAGGGCAGGACGATTCAGAAAGACAAAGCAAGGTACTGTGGGGAGAGAACAGAGAGAAAAAACGCATAAGAAAAAAAGAGAATAAGTGAACAAGAACAAGAGGGCAGGTAAGGTTTACAGCCTGAATGTTTGTGAATTCTCTTGTAGCACTGCAGCAGGTCAGGTCACAGAGCAGCGTTGGATATTGAATGTTTAATTCTTCTACTATAAGCCCTGGCCAAGGACGAGGCCTTAAACCACGGCCGCCTCACAGATCTTCCAATCGGAATCAGGAGTTCAGACCGACAATAAAACAAACATAGAAGCTCCCTGATACTTCTGGTCTCATAGTAGTGTGTGAATCACTTTAACAGACCACTTGACATCTACACCAATATTGAAAACTACAGAATGGCTGGTTTCAAGAAGCTGAAAGTGTTTTCATTTTGGTAGCACTTATTGGTTCTTATCTTACAGCTTTGATACAGAATTAGCTGGTGGGTATGAAAACAATGGCAGATAAAAGATGTGAAGATTCTCAGTCATCCAGGTCAGAGTTGTCCAAGGAGACTTGGTTGAAGATACTCGAAGATGTATCGCCTCTCATATAGAGGCTTCTTCAGTTCTAATTCACTGGCAGGGAATCCCAGGTATTTAACCTTTATCAAGGTGATGGATACCGCTTGGTTCGTTAGTAATCCTGTTGTGACGACAGTCGTTATGGTCATTAGAGTCACTTGAGGCCAAGTGTGGACGACTGACGTTGGCACTGTCATAGAGGCCAGATGTGAGTGTTTGTTCAGCCTCCTGGGAAGGGATGAAAGGACATCATTGTGGGTGGGGGTTAAGTGGCGTCGCAGAACTCAAGAACTCATCCCCTGTTGAGAGGTGGTCTCTGTATTTTGGTGTGGATTGCTTATTTCATTCTCTTTCAAACCAAACCAGATTAAAAGACATACTTTTCAGTAACTCATTAGAAGAGCAAAACAGTGAATTTATCCTACTAATTTTCTTTGTATTAAAGCGTAGTATATCGTATTCCTCTGGGCCTCAAAACTCCAACAATGATTAAAACTCATCACCGAGACACACTGTTACACCTGGGTGATGTGTTCCTTCATTAACATGAACACACAATGTAGTTTATATTGACTCAAACCCACACACCGTCATGCTGCCCCAAATACTCACTAGAGGACCAAATATAGAGTAATTTACTGCTGAAAAGGTCCAACAAATGAACAATTTCCTCTCTCGTTTTGAGTCACCAATTGCAAACCCCCTGCAGTGCCCAGTAGTTTTCTGAGGAGAGAAGACAAGAAAAGAAAAAAAAGGAAGAAGGTGGACTGCCCTTCAGAAGTGGAGAAGTGATGCTAAAGAGAGGATGAAAGAGGCTTATTAAATGAACAGCTTGAGATCCACAGAAGAGACTTTGAGAGAGAGCAGCGTCATCTCAAGAGGACTCTGTGGCTTTAAAAGCTTTGGAGTCGCTTCCAGACGACTGCCACAAATGAGTGCATCGAGCACTAAGCCGTTTCCGCACAAGAAGATTCATCGTTATAAATGTAATGTCATAAATTGCCTAACGCCCTCTAAGGAGCCAAATATTATCTAAAAAATACTATCAGATATTTTTAAGTTGTAGTCATCTAACTATAAAGGAAGGACGCTTTCTCGGTCATCCTTCACACTTGACGTGTGTATTGCTGTGGATGCAATGAATTGCAGTGTCGAATTTGGTGCAATTTAGCGAGATGGTGGCGCTACGACAACAAACTTTATGTTGTAACTTAAACTGCAAGTCTCAGGAAAAAAATGGGTTCAGAACAATATGTCCATATAACCACCTCCATTTGCATCTAGATCAATTTTACACCATTTTGAATTTTGGCCACTCCTTCTACACATTTTGAACAAATCCTCACCAAATTTTACTGGATTAAGCCGGAAAAAGTTACAGTATATTTTAGGATTGTTGATATATAGATTTGTTAAAGCCACACATTCTTAATGGCCATAGCCCCCGACATGGTCCCTGCAGCAATCGCGGGAGCCAAGCGATCGGCCTTTTCTGAAAGGGCATGGGAGGACCCAGGGGAAGTGCAGTGTAGAGTGTGAATTCGATGGGACGAGCGGTTCCTGAGAAAGGTGCAAGAAGCAATTCGAGAAACAAAGCAATCATCCTCTTCCGAACGGGCAAATATATCAAATGTACAATTAAGCTAGTAATATAACTTATTTCCACCTACAAAACATTATTGCCACAGACGAGAAGGATAAGCAGACTTGCATGAGGCTAAGTAAGGGGCGAGGATGAGCTATTTTCTCTCTTGGGGGACACTTAAGTCCTGGACACAGAGCTCCAACAAAAAGGGGACGGACACTTAAGCTGCTTACAACAGCCTAATGGGGAA